GGAGGAGGAGGGGGGGGGTGGAGGATCGCTATTCAGAGTACCGACGCGAACCTGCACACCCCGAGCACCGTGCGGCTGGCGTGGCTGGCGGGAGCTCTGGACAGACGTTGCAGAATGGACGGAGGGACACAAAAGGGCCGGGTCGATGAGTGGTGTGGCGGCCGGGGCACACAGTGGCACTGGTTGAGCGCCGCCGCGCCACGTTAAAGCGGACAGCACACAAAGCTGTACACAGTTTAGTGTTAGGGGGCGGGCGGGCGGCGGTGAAAGGTGAAGTGGCCAGTGAGAGGTTGCTTTGCGCCCCGTCCGTCTGGCGATAGTCGGGGAGGGGGAGGGAGGGAGGGGGGAAGGGCGCTGTGCTGCAGCTTTCCGCACCGCCACCAAATCCCTCAGGACGCCGTTCCCAGCAGGGTGGGGGGAGACCGGCGATCGAGATAGAACAGAGTCGTACGCGTACCTGCGTCGTGTGTCGTTATGGTCCAGCACGGGTTTCCGACTGAGTAGTATATAAAGGCGTAAAACACCCGCGAGTACACCTGGCGCCTGGTGTGTGGAGGAGGCAGAAAGGATGCGTTCGCGTTCGCACTCGGGAGTATTCGACAGGATGTTTTAGCCCTATGATTTGCCTGCTTTCGTACAGCAACACTGCTTTATAGACGCAGGTAAAGGAACGTCTCATCAGGGGATTTTCCAGGCTCGGGTCCGCATAGCACACAGTGCGGTTAGGCGCACGGCCCGGACGTGCTATGGTCCTGAAGCTGGACAAGAGCGGCCCAACAGACAGGCTGCTGGGGGAGGAGAGGCGGAGGCGGCGGTGGAGAAGGTTTTACTGTTTTGCATGCCGTCGCCCGGCCTCCTGTGTCTCCCCGATCCGAATGGGGCGAGCCGAGCCGAAGCGGGCGGAGGAAGGGCGAGTTTGTCGATAACGGTAGCCTTGCGTAGCCCAACCTCGGTTGTTTGCAACTTTGCGTCAGGTACACACCCCGGCAGAACGAAGTAAGAGCTGGAAAGGGGAGGTGGGAGGTGGGATAGAAGGCGGGATTGGGGG